AGTGAGAGCGAAGGTCTGGAAATATTCTACCCCCTCTCGCTCCAGGCGGCCGCTTCACCTTGTAGAGCCACATGCCAGTGACGACGTTCGCCCCAGGTGGTGGGACGGCGTCGACGTAGGTGCCTATGGACCTATAAGATGACATCAGTTCCTCCTCAACTTCTATCCAGTACGAAGTCCAGGGTCCCGAGACCGCCTAGGCATGAGTGCGAGGGATCGGGATGTCAAGGGCGTCTGGATCCCCCTTAGGGGCAAGCAGCATGGCGCAGAGATGAGGAGCAGCTGCCGCAAGGAAACCAAGCTCGTACTGCCGGTCCTCCAGGACCTCCAGGGGGAAAAACAGGTGGACGGAGAACGAGCCGTGCCGCTCACCAGGTGAGAGGCATAGTCAAGGCGGTAGGAAGAGGCAAAGCCAGCGACATTGGTAACAAGAGCCGAGACAGACAGCGGGGGGGCAGTCGGGTGAGTGACAAACGAGGACAAAACACGGGAGACGACAGGACGGGAGGCACGGAGGTAGTCGGACAGTGGGTCGGGAAACACAGTAAGGGACGACTCGGTCGCACTAAGGCGGTATGGTGCACGTGAGACGGGTTTCGCACCTGGTTCCTCCACGATCTCGTGCTCGTGGGTGCGTGCTGGAGGTACTCCTGCAGGTAGGTCGCCTGGCATGATGTCTTTGTACTACACCTCCTTTGCTGCTATAGGTAGCTCTGCGTTCGGCTTCTCCTCCTCTGCTGCTGCCATAACCAGTGCAAAGTAACCCATGTTACTCTCGTCCACCGTCCGTTCGAACCGTGCCACTGTCATTTCAGGAACGTTCCCTGTATTAGTCCAGCTTCTCAGCTCCACTCGTTTCCCGTTGTTGTAGATGCACGCCTTCCGATTGACCCAATCGATCTCGGGGTTGAACCGCTTCAAGAAATCTCGCCCCAAGATGAAATCTAAACCCTTGATGTTCGTGATCGGCAACGTCGGCTTCCAGCTCAGCGCCCCTATGTGCAGCTGCAGTGATGCTTCGCCGTGGATGGGAAGTTTCGTACCGTCCACCATCGTTGCCGTGAACTTGGTCACCTCCGAAGGTTCTCCAATTTTCACCAACGTCCCGCGGTCACACACCGAGTGGGACGCACCACTGTCCACCAGTGCCTGGAGGCGTCGTCCTTTGCATAACACCTCGAGGAGTAGTGGTTTCTGCTGCACTGAGTAGCCAAAGATAGGCTCGTTAATAGGATCATAGGGTACATCAAAGAAATTACCATCCCTATTTCTTACCCCTGACTCAGCACTCTTAACTTCCAACTTCACCTGGAGTGTAGGAGGATTTTTCCGAGGCTTGAACAACTTCTCTTGAGCCTGGAATTTTCCTCCAAGCCTTTGCAGCTGTGTAGGCTTCACCTGTGGGCAACGGGGAGCCTTAACACTGTCCTACTGGGAGAGAATATTAACTCCACGGAACGCACGACACTTTTCTACGCTCCGTAATACTTTGCCCAACTTCTCAGGTACCAGAATAATTTCTAAAGGCTTTTTCTTGGCCTCTAACTCTCCCCTGAATTTTACAAAGGCTTGAAAACCACGAGAAGTAATATTCTTTGTTAAAGTATCTTTATAGGATAACTTTAACGAATTCTTACTTTCGTGGGTGTTCGGCTGGAGTTTCCCGGTCGGTGCAGAGTCTTCTTTTGCGGAGCCTCCTTTTTTCTCGGCGAATTCCCCTGGTGCCGGCCGGTCGTGACGTTTTAAATTCGCACCATCGTTTTCTCCTTTTTTCGCCCGCTTTGAAGTCCCCCCGTCGTCGCCCTTTTTATCTTTTCTGATCTTTACACGATCGCCAGGTCGATCCGCGGCTACTGGCGATTCCCGTTTTTTTACTTCGGGGGTGCTGCACTGTTGTTGCCCTGCAACTCCGCACGTGCTTTCTTCATTTTGTAACACGACAGAGTTTGATGTCCGGCTGCGCCGCAAAATTCGCATTTTGTCGGCCGCGGCTTCGAGTCGATTCTGTCGACATCCATCGGTTCGGCGAACGTGGGGGGTGCCGATCGCTCCGTGCCGAAAGATCTGTTCGGCACGTAGTGTCGTGTTTCGGGTTGACCACACGTCAACGCGTCGTATCGCTCGGCTGCACGTACCATGTCGCGGTAGCTACTGTAGTTCGCGGCGATGACATGTCGGCGTATCTCCATTTTCAACCCCTCGGTGTACGTTTGGATTTTTCGCCTTCGATCAGGTCGGTGATGCGATTATATAACTGCTCCATCTGCTGCGTGTACTGTGCCACACTCCCGTATTGTTTCTGCCGGTGAATCTGCTGCCGCGCCATGTAGGTTGAATCAATTGGTTCAAACCTTTCGATCAGGTCTGCCCGATACTGCGCCCACGTTCCCTCTCCGCGGACCACGTTGCTGTAGTAAATCCACTCGAGTGCCGGGCCTCGCAACAGTGTCACTGCGAGCCGAATCCTTGCTGCGTCATTTGTCGGGGTCGAACAGCCAATGGCCTCAAAGTAAATTTCGAGGGTTGCCACGAATCGTCGAACGTCCAATCCCTTCGTGCTCGGATCGAACGCTTCGGGGAGCCTCGGGCGAGCTGCTTCGAGGTTCGACGAAGGTGGTGCCACTGGTCCGTGAAATGTCGGTGTCGCCGCTGCTGATGCTGCTGTCGCTGCTGTGTTCGCTACTGCATTCACTGCTGCCGTGGCGGCTGCCGACTGGTTCGCGAGGAGTGCTTCGATTCGTTGAAGCACCGCCCGCGTCTAGTCCATCTCCGTTGCGACTTCGGTGACCAAATTGTCGCCAGCACCCTCCATTCTTAACATCGCGCATCCGAAAAAAACCGAAAACGAGGGGGAGTGAAAAACACGGAACCGGTTTTACGTACCCGAAATCGGTGTTTAACGTTCGTCGCCCCCGCGGTTTTTTAAGACTGGGTTTTAGTGGTCGAAAAAAACTTCGCATGTAAACGGCTCTGATTACCAAGTGTGAGGATCTAGGATCGAGTTCAGAATTGAAGAATGAATATTGATTGATCCACCTGGGTACAACACGAGGCTATATATAGTCTCGAGACAAGGCAGGTAACCCAGTTGTTACGCGAATGTTATGAGGATCGCGAAGCGTCCCGAACAGAACCTTCCCGAACTCGGTAGAAAGCAATTCGGTGGCAACCGAAAGGCTTGAGTTCGGTACACGTAACCTGGTTCGGTGCTATAACTATAATAACATATAGGAATGCACCTAACCTAGGAAATCAAGCATATCTATGCATGATAAATTAAACCTAAGCTAGTAATAGCATAATAAAGTAAAGGCAAGCAAGCATAGCTGGCATAAGCCGTCGTACTCTCACACCCAGAGTCGAGGGTGGACGAAAGAGGCGCAGTCGCTGAGGTCGGACCCGTGCGAGCAACAAAAGCTGGGGCTAGGCTAGCGGTAGCTGCAACTCCCACACAAGGACCCTCAGAGGTACCTAGGCAAACTACACAAGCACCAAGACTGGAAACACAAGTCTCAACAGCATGCGCAACTCCCACAGACCGGTGTGCGAACTGGCCGGGTTCGACAGGGCCTCGCGGTGGAGGCTGCAGCAGGCGCTGCTGCTGCTGCCGCAGCCACTAGTGCTGCTGCCACTGCTGCTGCTGCGGCCACTGCTGATGCGGCCACTGGTGCTGCTGCCACTGCTGCTGATGTGGCCACTGCTGCTGCTGCGGCCACTAGTGTTGCTGCCACTGCTGCTGATGTGGCCACTGCTGCTGCTGCCGCTGTCGCCACATCGACATGGCAAGCTAGTACGGGGGTAGGGGCCAAGCGAGGCTGCAGTACGAGTGGTAGGACGGTCTAAGCTGGCGCTGGCGAGACTGAACGCGACCTAAGCTATTGCTGATGCGCTAAACGCGGGTGCCGGCGCATGCTGGCGCTTCATAGCAGTGGCTGATGCTGTCATTTTTTTTATTTTTTATTTTTTTCATGCAGGGTGCGGGCGGCCAAGATAAGGGACGTGTGCGGCCTAGGAAAGGGGCGCGCGGTGTGCGCGGCTATGCACGTGCGGTCGCATGGGCGCGGCTGCGTGCGCGGCCAGTGTGCGCGCGGCTGCGTACGTGCTGGCCCTACGGGGTGCGCGCGGGCATGAGCTAGGGTTACGGGCAGGAGCTAGGGTTACGGGGGGGGTGACGGGTGACAAGCGACAGGCGACTGGCGTCGGGAGCTAGGGTTACGGGCGACGAGAAGGGTCCGTGGGGGGCCGCACTACGAGACGAACGAAGGTCCCGCGGGGGGGGCGGGGGGGGAGGGGGGGGGGGGGGGGGGGGGGGGCGCGCAACGGGACGGACTAAGGGCCCGCGGGGGGCCGCGCTATGGGACGAACTAAGGCCCGCGGGGGGGGCTCTACGGGACGAACTAAGGCCCGCGAGGGGGAGGGGGGGGGGGGGGAGGGGGGGGGGGGGGGGAGGGCACTATGGGACGGAGGAATGCCCCGCGGGGGCCGCGCTACGGGACGAACTAAGGCCCGCGGGGGGGGGGGGGGGGGGGGGCACGCTACGGGACTGACGAAGGGCCTGCGGGGGCCGCGCTTCGAGACGAACTAAGGCCCGCGGGGGGGCGCGCTACTGGACCAACTAAGGCCCGTGGGGGGTGGGGGCGCTACGGGACGGACGAAGGGCCACGGGGTGACGGGACCTGCCAAGGGCGCTACGGGCAAAGGGGAGCGAACGGGTGGCGAACGGATGGCGAACGGACGGCGGGCAGGCGGCTAACGGGCGGCTACCAGGCGGCAAACGGGTGAAAGCCTAAGTCGACTCAAATATCGACTAACCACGATCAGCCTCACCCATCCCTCCCTTTACGTGTGCCGGGACTACCACACTCCACAGCCGCTTTCATCCAAGACACGTCTACTCCGACTTTCAAAGGATGCCCAACCTTCCCTGCTCACATCAATCCAACTGTCAAGGTGCCTCTAATACCCTGCCAGCATCAATCCTGCATTTGACCCTGCTCGCATCACTCCGCCCAGTAGTCAACTGCAGGTAGCGATGCCTCTGGTGTCGCAGATGGGGAGGAGGAGGAGGACAATGTAGCACCACCAGCACGACCATTCGCTGCATCATCCGCACCACCAGCACCGTCAGCACCACTAGCAGTATCAGCACCACTAACACCATCACCAGTCTCGCCAGGACCACTCTACCCAGCCCCACTCGCCTTTCGCTCCCCACCCACCCACCTCTCCCTCCTCAACTCCTCCACAGCCACCACGGCCGCTAGCAGCCACCCTGCCAGCTGGCGCTGGTACTCCTCCATGCGCCGCTGCTCCCGCTCCACCTCCCTCTGCTTCCGCCCCACCCTCTCCTGCTCCCGCTTCACCTCCTCCTGCTCTTTATGTAACCGCTCCTGCTCTTTAGCTAATGTGTCCTGCTCCCGCGCTAGCGCCTGCTGCTGCTCTCTCATCTGCTGCAGTGAAGCCAAATCGATCGGCGCAGACACCCCTCCCGTGGGAGAACCTTCAGTGGAAACACCTCCACTTTCTGCGAGTGATTCTTGAGCACCAGCCCGACCCTCCTGCTGCTGCTGCACTGCAGCTACCAGAGACAGCAGCTTATTCTGCGAGGGCACGTGCTACTGGGGCCAATTCAGCTACGCCGACAGTCCCTATTTCGACAAGGGCATGGTCGCGCAGGTGCCGGCGAGCAATTTCAACAGCGGCAAGGGCTGCGGAACGGGTTACCAAGTTACCTGCAAGAACAGCCCGAGCTGCACCAAGGGCAGCGTGATGGTTCGAGTGGTCGGCCTGAGCGGCATTTTCAACCTCAACTTTCCCGCGTGGGACAAAATCGTCAAGGACCGCAACGTGGGTAACGTGGAGATTGATTACCTCAGCGTGGACTGCCCTAGGAGCCGCACCATGGCAGTCAGAATCGAAAACAACGGCAACGTCTACAATTTCGTGGTTCAGATTCTCGGCGCGGTGAAGAGCGGAGGCGGAAAAGGTGGAAATATCGAACGACGGCAAGCAGTGGAAGAGCATGACGAACAACAGATGGGGCGCGACGCGGGTGCTGAATCCCGCCAAGGACCGTAATGGATAAGGGGCGCAAGGTGAGCGTGCGCGTGACGGCCGTGGGCGGCGGGCAGCAGGTGGTGTTGCAAGTCGTGATTCCAAGCCCTTGGAGCGCGGGGACGACATACGAGAGCGTCACCAACTTCTAACGAGATGGGTTGTACCCTACGCGTTAAAAATGTTGCTAGTAATGGGATGCGCCGTAACGAGGTGGTGTGGCGCACGAGAGTGCTCCCTAATAATGCAGCTACCTTGCCATGGTGGCGTGCAATGCAGTGAATAAAAGCACGTCCAGTTTATGGATGGACGAGGTGATGCGATGCTATAGTAGGAGCGGTGCTATGAGATATTAGGAGCGGTGCTATGAGATATTAGGAGCGGTGCTATGAGATATTAGGAGCGGTGCTATGAGATATTAGGAGCGGTGCTATGAGATACTAGGAGCGGTGCTATGAGATATTAGGAGCGGTGCTATGAGATATTAGGAGCGGTGCTATGAGATGCTATGCTAGATGTAATTGTTCAATATGCTTAGTACAAACAGAGGTTTTTATTGAAACAAGTGGCACGCTACTCAAACTACACCAGGGGAGGACACTCTTTAATCATCAAGTGAATGTACCTTCAGAAAGATCGAATGAGCAGGTCTGAAGAGGGAAATCCACCTGTCTTCCCTCACCTGCTCCTCGCGTTTCTACACCTGTCCTGCCCGTTCCTTCACCTTCCCTCTCAATGCTTTCACGTTTCCTGCACCTGCCCATACGCCTCCTAATCTTGCTTTCACCTCCTTCACCTGCCCCATCCTGTGCCACAGCTGCGTCTGCTTCTACATTGGGGAACCCTCTGGAGCATTAACGGAAGGGGCCTCCCTTGCTCCCTCTACTTTCTCTTACACCCCACACGCTGCCAGCCCCGTGCTCGCGTTCAGCACTTGCAGGGCAGGAGCAGCAGGATAGAGCATGGAAGGAGCAGCAGGGGAAGAGAGCAGTGAGGGAGTGCGTGTCGGAGGGAGAGCACGCGGGCCTTGTCCGAGGAGGGCAGGTGGGCTGCGGACAGGTGGATGCAGGCTGGGAGGGAGCAGAACGCCCACGTCTTTCCCTCGCCACCTTGCTGGTTGCTGCACGTACTGTGGAACTCGGAGTTCCCTAGAAAAGCTTTGGAAGAATGGGAGGAGGGAGGATAGAACGTGGAGAGATGAATGTGAGAGTGAGGGAAACGAGAGCAGGCGGTCAGTGGCTCGTAGCACTGTTGCGACAGCCAGGCCAGCTTGGTTCAAGTTACGCACCACGCACACCCTACACATGCAAAAGAACCGTGAGTCAACCCACACTGGTTCATCTAGAACCCTCTCTTCCCACTCAGACCCGGACCCTCTTCTCACACGCACCCCCCCTGTGGCCCTCCCTGGCACTCACGAGTGCATCAGCGATGGCCCCCTGCTGCCCCCCAAAGGCGTCTCTGAGCAGCTGGGCGTTGAGTGCCTTGTCCCCGCCCTTGAGGTCCTCTATTGTGCACCGCGCTATGCCGTAGTCCACTGCTCAGGGGGAGAAAGAAGAATGTGTGACACATGTTACAAGGGACACCATCAGAGTCTATGGCATGTCTTCGAGACATAGTTTTGAGTCGACTCAGTTTTGAGCCTAGTTTTGAGTCGACTCAGTTTTGAGCCTAGTTTTGAGTCGACTCAAAACTTTGAGTTGACTCAAAACTAGAATGAGTGACAAAGGGTACAAGGGACACCATCAGAATCTATGGCATGCCTTTGAGACATGTTCAGAATCTGCAGCCCTAGAGGTCCTCTATGCTGCATGGCGCTATGCCGTGGTACACTGCTCAGGAGAGGGAGTTTGAAGCAGAGTGCCGGGGAAGGCATCAGGATCTGTAGGCCCGCGCCTAATGCCACAATTGAGTATCAGGGTCAGCACTTGAGTCTCCGGATTCGCTCCCTCTAACTCGCTGTAGCGCGGTGCACGATGCTGCAGTCTGGTGTTTAGGGAGTGAATGTGTGAAACTTGAAGACGTTTGGGAAGGAGTGGACGAAGGGCACTAGAGGCGGGCAAATGTGAATTAGAAGGTTACTGCCTGAGAGAGGTGGTGGCATAGTGCTGACATGGTATGGCATATGAGCGCGGGCTCGCGCACAATCATGGTGTGTAAGCAGAGTCTGATGAACGCAAATTAGCCAGCAGTGGCATGAATGGAAAGTATTGACATACACGGGATGCACGAGGGCATAAATTGATGTGCTTACAGAGGTCAACACGGAAGGGGCGAACAGAGTCTTGTGTCACTTCAAGCATGTCTGCCGGACCTGTAAGGTAAGGATGCAGGGGGAGTATTTTGAGGCGCCTCAAAATACACCTCAATGCACGCGGATTTCATACGGAGAGGATTATGAGTCTTGTGTCACTTCAAGCATGTCAGCCGGACCTGTAAGGATGCAGGGGGAGAGGGGCAGGGTGGGAAGAGGGACAGTGGAGGGGCACAGAGGGAAGCAGGCAGCGGACGGTGTAGATTTCAAATGGGCCGAGGACGGGGTACCGGAACGACTACTGGGCATCTGGATCTCAGCAGATGGCGACGGCGGACCATCCTGGGAAAAGGCATGGGAGCGCGGGAAGGAGGAGTTAGTCAAATGGGAAAGGAATCATCTCCTTACGGCGGCAAGGGTAACGGTGATCAACGCGTACATAATGCCGATTTTCATTTTCCAAGCGCAGGTATACCCACCACCGGAGGAGTTATGGAAGCGGATACAAAAAACGTGCGATAACTACGTTTCAAGCGGGCAAGCCACAGCGGACAAACTTTTCGTCCTATGGAGCGGGGAGCTGGCATGGTTACCCAAGAAGGAGGGAGGTTTGGGACTGGTCGACCCAAAGGCGAGGATCGACAACATGGCGATCAGAATGGTGCCGAAGATGCTTGCGGAAGAGGGGGGCACCAAGAAATGGCTAGCAGAGAAGGCGGCGGCACTGCCGCAGGACGAAGCGATTTTTTTCGCGGACCCGTCAGCGGCAAGACACTGGCCGGGAGGGAGTCAACGGTGGAAGGCAGCGGTCGAGGCTTTCTGGGAATCTCCGTACGCAGAGGTTCCGGAGCCGGGGAACACGTGGGAGGCTGGTCAGGAGAAACTGTGCATCAACCGCCACGTCATGTTCAGAGGGAATAGCCCGTACGGGAATCAGCAAGGGACGGAGAAGATCCGCACGGCGAAATTTGAGGACCTGATAGAGGAGGGACCGGAAGGAGAACGAGCGGTTAAGAGCAAGGCAACTCTCACGGTGGAGTTAGGGAGCGTAGCGGCGGCAAGGTGGGCGCTGATGGCATATGCGGCAACACCAAAGGAATGGAAAGTGCTACTAACGGCGAGCAAAACGGCGACTAAAGTGGTCGAGGTTGCAAAAACAGTGAGGACATATCTTCCCGGGGCGCAGGAGTACCAGTACTGGGAGGTGAACAGAACAGCAGACGGGGACGTGGCGGTGACGAGCCTTAAGCAAACGGAAGGAGCGAGGTTGCAGGAAAGGGAGGGGGCGGTCAGGGCGATACTCAGGGCAGCAAGCGTGGAGCCGGTGGTCACCAGAGGGGGCAGAGTGCTGGGGGCAATGGGCGCACCAGGGACGAAGCTGAGGCAGTCAAAGCTTCTAGAAGAGGATGGAACGCCGGCAAGGATTAAGACGATTAGACGAGAGCTAACAGGACCTACGACGGCCTCAAGGAAGAGAAGCGAGTGGGAGGAAAGATGGGGGCGGAAAATTGACTGGAGGAAGGTGGAGCACAGGAGGGAAGCATCAACAATCCCCAGCAGGGCAAGAGACGTGATACTGAGGATGCACAGTCTGAACCTTCAAGTGGGCGGCAGGCTGAAATTTCTGGGAGAAAGGGCGAACTGCTCGCACTGTGGGGAGTACGAAACCCTAGAGCACTGCATGTTTGACTGCCCGGTGGTCCAGCCGGTTATCGGCGCGCTTTTGCGGTCACTACGGCTATTGGACCAGTCGAACGTCCCAGCCTCACTAGGGGACGTGTTGTTCGGAGAAGGAGGAACACGGTCAGGCTTCCCAGCAACGACGTTGGTGGCAACGACTTTCCGCCACATCTGGCTGGCGAGGTGCAACATGGTGTGGAGAGGGGAGGTTTTTCAGCGGAAGAAAGTGGCGAGGGGGGCAATCCGGGATTTCGTGCTGCATGCGCAAATTTACCGCACGGAGCTGACACGCAAGGCATGGAAGAAGGCTACAGCGAAGCAGGGGAAGGACCCGTGGCGGGATCTGGGTGAAGATGAGAGAGCAGCAGTGGCCCGTCTCAGTGGGCCAGGTAATGATGCCACGTGGAACGACGAGTTTCTATCCATCTGGCGCAACCCCAGGACAATCAGACAACCCCCTTAGAAGGTCCGCAGGAGGGGGGCCCGGTAGCACTAAGGTGTAGCCAGGGCTTGTCCACTCCAGTTATCAGTTACGACTGAGAATGTATGCGCTGATATAGTGTAATAACATTCGCCAAAAAAAAAAAAAAAAAAAAAAAGTGGAGGGGAAAGGGGGTGGTGGAGAGAGTGAGGAATGGAGTAAGAGAGACAAGAAGGAAGAAGTAAAGGATTTTTTTAGATACACTAACAAGACGTGGGGAAGCGAGACTGAGAGGAAGCGTAGGTGGCCTGCGTATGCTGCTGTCATGCGGATCTACATTTGTACAGCTGTCAGAGCTAGACTAACTGACCCATGGGGTGGACTAACTGACCCATGGGGTGGACTAACTGACCCATGGGGTGGACGAACTGACCCATGGGGCGGACTGACTGACCATGGGGCGGACTAACTGACCCATGGGGTGGACTAAGTGACCCATGGGGTGGACTAACTGACCCATGGGGCGGACTGACTGACCCATGGGGTGGACTGACTGACCCATGGGGTGGACTGGCTGACCCATGGGGTGGACTGACTGACCCATGGGGTGGACTGACTGACCCATGGGGTGGACTGACTGAACCATGGGTCCACCTGGTTGGTGCAGACAGGTGCAGAGGGATGCAGAGAAGTGCAGAGGGGTGAACAGAGGTGCAAGGGTTGCTGCAGAAGGTTACAAATCAGCTGTGTTTGGATGACCTTGTTGATTCAGAGACGCAGACGTACCTACCATAGAAAACCCATTCATGCAGCGTGTAAAGTCACACACATGGTGTGTGTCGCATGGTGTGCGGACGATAGTGTGAGTCACGTCTCCCACTCGCCCCCCTGCCGCCACTACCGGGCGGAGAGACGGATGGGAGAGTAAGGGAGGAAAGCACTCGGACAAGCCCCTGGGTTGCGGGGGAAGCACTCGGACAAGCCCCTGGGTTGCTTTTCTCATTCATAGGGTGCTGCTGACACTCTTCAGCCGCACACACACACGGACCCCAAACCTCGTGGTCCCAGTGCGCAGAGTTCACCTCAGGTCCCAGCTGTCATGCGAGACCGCATATGCCTTGCCGAATCCAACAGCCCATACGCCACACACAAGCAGAATGGGTGCTAGTGCTGAAGTTGACAATATCAAAGTCATCCCCCCCCCTTACCCCCTCTACTGCCCTCATCATCCCCCACCCCCTGCCCTCATCATCCCCCATCCCCTTGCCCTAATGATCACAAGCATGCCGTCGAGGGATCGAACCAGCGTATAACCTCCTGGCCATTCCGATTCTCGTCCACGGAGGAGAAAATGTATATTCCCGAGGAATAAAAATAAACGCACAGAATCTGGGTTCTCCACGAGTGGCATCGACAGAGCGCGAAGAGCTCATAAGGGGCTGCGGCTGAGTCGTCGCTTCATCGCTCCCACCTCGACGCGATTCCCAACGCGAACAATTGGTTCGGAACCCTACGCCGCGCCCGGATCAACGTGGGCCTTCCCGATTCGCTACTAGTACCCTTAGCACCTATTGGCCGTTTTCGAACGACGCGCTCCTATTAGCAGCTGCGGATCGCTCTACTAATTCTGCCAGAATTAGTTCCTAACTATGCTTTAATCTAGAGCTGGTTAGTAATGCTTCCATATGGACCTGCGGTTGTGCAGACGTGCGGTTGTGTATGTACTTTTTGAATAATGACGCATTTTAAAAAACGCCAATGGACGTCCCGGTTGTGCTGTTTTAAATTTCCTACGTGCGCAATGCGATGCTGTGTTTCGTGTGCGACATGCGGTCGCTATTCAGAATCGCTAGGCACACCTATCACTGACATTTGATTGGTCGATTTTGGCCAATCACCAACATGTACGCCTGACAAAATATCTGGAAAGATGAAACGCCACTTGGCCACGTGGCAAGGGAAACAAAAAAGTGACGAGAACATCACTTCGCCAGGCACATTTCTGTGACTTTCTGTACGAAATTTCGTAAGTCCAACGTGACGTTTCTGTGACTTCACTTCTTGGCACTTCCACCCATGACATTTCCGTGACGGAAATTTGTCACGCAAAAAGTCACGGAAAAGTCACATTTCTGTGACATTTCTCACTTGTCTTTTCCGCGATGCTGGGGTGGCAGAGGGTGCGCTTCTACAAAGCGATTCGGTGGGAGAAGCGTGGTGGACGGCAAGTGAGGTCGCCGTTGTTACTATCATAGCCACTTGAGTAAATGGCGGAACATGGGGAATTCATTCGCTCAAGCACCAAATCTACGACCGCAGTAAGTATGGGCGCCGGGAGATGTCATAGATTATGGCGGATGGGATATAATACTGGAGGGACAAGGTGTCACCAAACGCAAGTATGAGGTCGAACAAAACCTGGAAGCGTGTCTGTAACAAGGGGCACCTGCGCGGGAGCCAGCGTGAAGCGCACGGGAGGCAGCAACATGCAGCAGCCGTGTGCAAGGGTGAACGTGGACAAACAGGGTAGATCGTGGGCAGGACGTGGGGGACCCACGTGAGAAGGGCGAAACATCGGTTTCGTGCCTTGGTTGACTTGGGTGAAGTGCAGCGTGGGACAGGTGGCGAAAGTGTAGCATCAAAGGGTTGGAAATTAGACACGTGTGTAATTGCTATGAGCTGTACAAATGTGAATAAGAATAGGAACGCGGCTCGATGTCGGGGCTGGCCACCCGAATCGACATTCCGAGCCGCATGTCTGAACTGTAAATGTTGTACATACATAAAATGCATTCGTAGGATAGATAGAGTAGTTTTCTGGTTTCTCTTTCTGTTTGTTCTTCCTTGCTTCTAAGGAAATTCTTTTGGGAAGAATTCTCAGCCAGAACAACTTGAACAAGCCCAAGTGCCGTGAGCTTGTTCCACTTTGCCTCAGAGCCTGTTTTTTC